AATAAGCATGTCATCCACATACAACAGGAGATAGATATAATCACCTCCACGAAGCTTCCGAATGTAAACACAACAATCATAGTTGCTTCGGAAAAACCCATGCTTCAGCATGAAGGAGTCAAAATGCTTGTACCACTGCCGAGGAGATTGCTTCAATCCATAGAGTGACTTTCTCAAGCGGCATACATGATGCTCCTTATTCTCAACCTTGTAGCCCTCAGGTTGATGCATATAGATCTCTTCATCCAAGTCTCCGTGCAAGAAGGTTGTTTTAACATCAAGTTGTTCCAGCTCAATATCATCATGAGCAACAATACTCAATAGCACCCGAATAGAGGTGTGTTTCACCACCGGAGAAAATATCTCATTGTAATCCACACCCTCTCTTTGTGCAAACCCCTTAGCCACTAGCCTCGCCTTGTATCTCATACCACCGAGCTCTGAAAGATCTTCCTTTCTTTTATACAGCCACTTCAACCTATAGCTTTCTTTCCTACGGGCAATGAGACCACCTCTCATGTTTGGTTCTTCCGGAGAGATTTCATCTCCTCCTCCATCGCAGCCAACCAACTCTCACTATTCTTGTCTCGAATAGCTTCCTTGAATGAGACCGGCTCATCATCCTCCACCGAGAGTGCGTATTCAACCAAATTAACACGCCCATAGTGCTTCAGGGGTTGATCAGCCCCCAGCTTCTGTACCTGCTTGTATACTCGCCTTGGCCTAGTGGAAGCCAAGCTATCCTCGAGCTGCTGTTGTTGTAGTGCCTGTCAAGCTCATCATCTACCTGATTTCCCACTTGAACACGACTAGAACCTGGTTGGTCTTTCGGTTCTATCTTAATAACCTGGGACTCGGGAGTCCCAACAGTATCAACACCACCATCTTTGAGCACCCTAGCAATCATGGACTTCTCATCAAAGGTAACATCTCTGCTGATCATAAACTTCGAATCTTCTGTACACCAAAGCGGTAGCCTTTTACGCCCTTTGCATACCCCAAGAAAATTGCCTTCTTGGCCCTCGCGTCAAGCTTTCCCTCGTTGACGTGATAGTAGGCAGTGCAACCGAAAATTCAGAGCCTCTCATAATCTGCATGCTCCCCTGACCACACCCGATAGGGTGTATCACCGTCCAATATCGAATGTGGAGATCGATTCACAATATAGCAACCTGTAGCAATCGACTCTGCCCACCATTCTTTGCCCAAACCAGCATATGATCTCATACTCACTGCTTTCTCTCTCAGTGTTTGGTTCAGACTCTCCGCGACCCCATTCTGCTGTGGTGTAGATCTAACTATCCAGTGTCTAGCAATTCCCTCATGATCACAGAACTCCTTGAAGGCACCATCTGTGTACTCTGTACCGTTATCAGATCTCAGCGTCTTCAATTTCTTCCCTGTCCTGTTCTCAACCATCGCCTTCCACTTCTTGAATGTCTCAAATACCTCATTCTTATGCTTCAGGAAATACACACAAGCATACCTAGAATGATCATCTATGAATGAGACAAAATATCTGGAACCACCCTTGGAAGTTGTCGAAGCCGGACCCCAAACATCCGTGTGCACATAATCTAGTATCCCTCTGCTCTTGTGATTGCTCCTCAGAAACTGGACCCTGTGCGCCTTTCCATACACACAATCCTCACAAAAATCCATGCAATGTTTCTTCAGATTCTTTAGCAAACCCTCTTTACCGAGCAGATCCAGACCCTTCTCTAACATGTGCCCAAGCCGCCTATGCCATAACTGTGTGTGTGCTCACATGGGTCTCCACCACTTCCTTCAGCTCTAACTGCTGCACCTCCCGTCACCGTCGTACCCGAGAGAGTATATAGATTACCGTGACAAACACCCTTCATCACTGTTAAGGAACCCTGAACAACCCTCTTCATTCCGTTCTCTGTTACGATCTTGCAACCCCCGGAGTCCAAAGCACCGACTGAGATTAGATTCTTCCGCAAGTCGGGAATATGCCTTACATCCGTCAAGGTTCGAACCACTCCATCATGCATCTTGATCTTGATATCACCTAGCCCCACCGTTTTACAAGCATGGTTGTTCCCCATCAGTACGGTTCCACCATCAATGCTCCTGTAGGTAGTAAACCACTTTCTATTTGGACACATATGGTAAGAGCAAACAGAATCAAGAATCAACTTCCCGGAGGTATCCTTGCCACCCGTGACGACATAGCATTCCTTATCGCTCCCTTCCCCTGAAGCGTAGCTCGCCTCTTCCTTGCCTTCTCGTCTTTCAGTCTTGTTGTTCTTCTTCCCACCTACTCTCTTGTTAGGACAGTCGACCTTGAAATGCCCAACTTCACCGCATTTGAAACACGCTCGTCCCGCAAGAAGTCTCGATTTAGATCTAGACTTTCCTCCCTTGCCTTTTCCTCGCTCATTGCCTCTTCCTCTAGCAAACAGTCCCTGAGCTTGTTCCTTGTTACCACCAATGGCCATATCATTAGTTGCAATTTTTCGAAGATCATCCGCTAGAAGCGCCGTTCTAGTCTCATCCATCGACAAAGTATCACCCACAAGCATCAGTGTTTGCACCAGATTCTCATAAGACTTCGGCAGAGATAGAAGCAGTAGAAACGCCTAATCCTCATCTTCCACTGTCACCTCAATGTCTTTCAAATCCGATATGATCCTATCGAACTTGTTGATGTACTCCCGGATTGACGAGCCCTCCTCCATCTTGCAAGTATACAATTTGGATTTTAAATAGATCCGGTTCGTTAGACTCTTCGTCATGAAGGTGCTTTCTAACTTCAACCACACGCCCGCAGTCGTTTCCTCCCCGTCCACCAAGAAAGCTACATCCCTTTCAAGGCAAAGGATAATCGACGCCCGTGCTTCCAGATCCAGCTCCTCCCAATCCTCATCAGACATATTTTTGTTCTTCTCTTTACCAGCCAAAGCCTTGTGCAATTTTTGCGAAATCAGTGAATTTTTCATCTGCATCCTCCAATAGGAAAAATCATTTTTCCCATTGAATTTTTCAATCTCGTATTTTTCAACTTTACTTGTTTTACTTGTAGAAGCCATTTTCCGCTTGTATTATGTAAAACCACTTCTCTCAAGAATTTCTTTGTGTTCACCACACAATAGTCAACCACCACCTCAGATTAGTAGCTTAACCACCGCCAATCTGAATAAGGGCTCTGATACCAATTGTTGGGCGCAGAGTCACACCTACCGTCATGGAAGCGATATCACCTGAGAGATAGTCCTGGCTTTTGTTGTCACAAAAGCATAAGTCAACCTCTATATTCTTGTTTCTCAAAGGAAACTAGAATAGATAGTAAAATTCTTATTTCTCAAAGGAAACAAGAATCGAAAGTGATATATTTCATCAAAGTGAAATATACACTCTTCCTCTCATAAGTTCTAGGACTAAAATATCGAGGGAACCTACAAGCTATGGCAACTCACAGATAAGACAAATACAAACACGAGATTTACGTGGTTCGGCTAACTAGCCTACGTCCACGGGAGGGGGTTTCACTATGAAGAAAAATACCAAACTTATACAAGTTCTCTCTTCCTCTCTTTCTTTTCTCTCAAAAGAACAACCCACTTATTTTTTCCCCACCGCCAAACTCAACTCACAACCTCTCCTATTTATAGGAGAAAATCCGGAGTTAGACTGGCGGGCTCTCAAAGCGGGAAATGAAAACTCGCACGGGAAATGGCGCGCGCACGGAGCTCGACGTGGGCTGGCAGGCGCGCACTCGTCCGCGTCGTGGGTGCTGGGCTCGAAGCGGACGCTGGGCTCGATGCGGACGCGCGAATGCAGACGGCACAACGCCATCTCGTGGACAGCAGGAACCGAGCGCAGACGGCTTCGAACACGAGCACGAAACGAGCCCACGTGAGCTGGCAGATGAATTCGCACGGCACAGTGGGCAGGCGCCCACTAAAACCCACCCACGTGGGTGGCCCCCCCCAAACACCGCGTTCACAATTCTCCACCTCGTTCATCATTTGATAAACCTCAAATTTTGAACAAAACACCAGAAGAACCCCACGAACTCCACCAGAGAGATCCAGGCCAAACCAGCTGCATCACTTTACCGCGACTGCCTACGTACCCTCTACCGGGATCAAGCTAACCGTAGTTCTACAATTATTCTCCAACATAGTCTCCACCTCACCTCCATCACCGCCCTGCAGGGCCATGCCCTCTTGGGCAAATCAACACGGGCTGATATGAAGCAAGTCCAAGCAATGCTGGAACTTGCTACCTGTGACGACCTTGGTTAACATGTCCGCGGGATTCTCATTTGTATGCACCTTCATGAGAGAAATATCACCTTCCTCTATGACATCCCGCACAAAATGATATCTGACATCTATATGCTTGGTACGAGCATGGTGAACTTGATTCTTCGCCAAGTGAATCGTACTCTGACTGTCGCACCACATGTTTTGTGTTAGATATATGTTTTGATTGTCAAACAATTGATTTCATTCTTTCTGATTGATAACTTATGGTTCTTTGGTTGGTTTTGGCGCAAAGACGATCAGAAGGAATTTGATTGCATTCATTTAGGCTAGATATCGATATATTCTTTGTTTGTTTGTTTGTTTTTTTTTTGGGATAAATCCGATGAGTATTCATCGCCTTCTATCAAACAGGAGATTTGATCTTTTATACAACAAACTGATTTGAACTAGTTAGTCGTCAAATCTAGAAGATTTGATACAGTCAACACCCCCCTTCACCCTTGTACATCGACTTTCCGACTTGCCTTCATGAATCAAAGTGTTAGCCCGATGCACGGACAGGTTCGCCTCGTGTTGGGACGGTAGGCAAGTTTCGATACTCAGTTCCAGGTGGTTTTGTGAACTTGTCCGCAAGTTGAAGATGACTCCGTAGAAGAAAACCATTCTAAATTGTCTTGGACGAGATGGTAAAAATTGAGAGAATTGGACCTTCTCCAATTACCATCTAATTAGAGAGGATCTGAATCTAGAAACAAAGCCCAATTGATCCAAAATGTTTTCAATAATTTAGAAGTCCAATTACAGAATGATATCACATCCAAAATCTGAGATAGTATCTGAAGGATACTATCCATGTTCTCATCACAAATTCTGATAGTGTGAAAATAACACTTTCCCGTTGATCGAACAGGAAAAACATCAAAAATTCAAAATCTTATGACATCTTTAATAGCATGAAAGTTTGCAGAATGATTTCTCATGGTTTGGACAAATAACCAAGATGCTTAAGGTACCAGAGTGCTCCTTCAGCTGCATTCTCTTGGGCTGCTCTTTTCTGTTGTTTAGGCTCACTATAACATTCTAAAAGTGTAGAGCTGATCCCTTCAATATGAACAATAACCCTGAAGGTGAACCTGCAAAATTTTCAAAGGCAATACCTGACTGCAAAAACTTGAAGATGGATATCAAAAAGATTGCATATACTATACTTCAATCAAAGGGTAAACTTCGCAAATCCCCCTGATAGTTTGGGCATTTCCCGCGAAACCCCCAGTTAATTTGCTTTTCCCACTAAACACCGAAAACTTTTTCCAGGCCCCAAATTAACAAAAATGACCTCAGGGCAAAAATCACAATTTACCCTATCTGATATCATAAATTCCAGTAACCCAACAATATAGAGGAAGAAACTTTGCATGACATGCCTAAATGTGACGGTTTATTTTGCGAGAAAAACTATTATTATTACAAAGAATGAAAGAAGGAATGTTTTTGGCCCGAGGGGAGTTTCTGTGGGAAATTGACCTGGTATTTAGTGGGAAAGACAAAGTGCTAGGGGGTTTCGTGGGAAACGTCCCAAAGTATTAGAGGGTTTTGTGAAACTACCCTCAATTAAAACCAAGTAAAATAATAATGAACACTCCCTTGTGATGAAAGAAGTCAGAGGTCTAACTCAAATGTAGTTGGCAACATGCTGAGGGAATTTTCTCCCTCCACAGAAGAGGTAGGAGTTATCAACATCATCCATCCAAAAAATATCAGAAGAAAATTATTAGAATTGAAATAATCTGTGGTAATTACTATGTGTAACAGATGATTAGAAGTTATTCTTGGTATTTAAACATGATGAAGACAGCATTCGTGAAGTCTATAGCTGAATTCCATGTAGGTTATGGCTCTATTTCTTAGTCCCTCCTCTGCAACAAATTTTTGATGTTAGTATAAGAGTTGACGCTTATAACTTTACATGATCCTGCAGGGTTAGTGCTCTTTCATGGCCCCAAAACCTACGATGTTCTGCACAACTCTGTTCTTTTTTAAATAAAATGAATGTTGACACAATTTGAATCCAGATTGCTCTTTTACTATTGTGAAGTCTCTGCCACTGCACCCAAGTCTTGAAATTATTGTGATGTCTGATGGTTATTTTTATGGGTAAATTGCAGATAAATCCCTTGTAGTATCGTTGTTTCGACTTGCTACCCATCTAATTTATTTTTTGAAGATAGACCACCTGCGTGAAGTTTTTTTACTTTTTTTTGTTCTTTAACCATCATGGGGTCTATCTGTCAAAAAACAATTTTCTTTTTCTTCCAACAGTAAAGGAGTCAAAAAATCAATCAGGGCGTCCATCTGCAAAATAGAACTAGAGGGGGAATAAGTTGACCTCCTACAAGGGGGTTTATTCACAGTTAACCCTATTTTTATATTATTAACACTACTAAAGAATAAATATTACAAGTATTTTTGGAGAGGTAAAACTTACATCTTTCTATCGTTAGGCCCTTCCTCCTTACACAAGACAAATGAAGGGCGTTTCCAATGTTTTGCCACACAGATCTCATAAAGCCTCATTTTCGCTGTTGGGGAAGTTTCCATCTTCTCTTGAATTCTGAATTTTGAACAAGTAACTTCTTGGTCTTGCAAAGACTTGGAAGGAGTTCTTTCCGGTTCTTGCGACAAATACTTTGGCAAGAAATTGTTGTTAAGTGCTGTGATAGGCTGTTCGTTGTAAACTATAAGTTCTGCCGATTCCTTTTGAGTTGATTGTACAGGTTCCTGAAGAGTAGTCCTTTTGTGTATGAAGACAAGGGCCTGTACAAAAGAGAAGCTTAATGCTGAATTTTAAAACAAATAAACACGTGAAACTAGTTCATGGCTCTAGTTCTACAATGTAATACACAGAGAAAGGCAAAGGTAAGCAGCTAGAATTAATAATGTCAATTTCACAGAATAGCAACATTTTTACAAGGAAGAATTTTTCCCTAACTCGTGGTCACTAAGTTCTAACCCACAATAGCTTGTGAGTCCTCCATGTGAGTGCGAATGTACATCCTGCAAAACTGTGTTCTCGGATGTAGATATTCTACTACATACCCTAAATAATATGGCAATGAGTTCATGCAGAGAAGCAGAAATTTCAACTACAGAAGAATTAGTTGATAAAGATGAGCAATTAGTTAGAAACTGTTGGATTTGCAGGGTGCAACCTGGTCCTCCTTTGGTGCAATAGGTGGTTAAGACATAAGGTTAGAGCATTGAATAACGACGGATTGGCGATCACAATGAATCGCTATTAAACCTACCATCTTCAAGTGATAAAGGGGTTGGAATCATCTTCACGAAACATTGGAGGGTGATACAAGGGGCTTTACCCAAAAGGTTATAGTGATCTCAGAAGAATACTCACAAAGTGCCCCATACATCATTTTGCCCTAAAGAAGAACCGGGGAAAAAACTAATTTAAAAAAGAAACTCCATACCGGCTGAAACACTTACCAAAGTTCATGTCAACATCACTTTAGTTGATGCTCAACACTCCCTTTTCAATGAGAAGATCAAAGTCGACTTATGAATGATCAATTTACCATAGAACATAGATTTTCATCTCTTCATACCTGGATGAGAAGACACGACCTTTAACTCGTACCAAAGTCACTCCAATCTTTATGTCCATTAAATTACCTTGACCTGGTCCCTTGACCCACTCTCATTAGATAATCAGTTCATATTGAAACCATATTCCCTTTGTGATCTGCTTTATCTCGACACCGCACTCTAGCCCCATGGTTATAGCCATATCAATCCAAGCTTTCTCTCTCATTCAAACAGTTTATGTCGGTCCAGCATCCTATCCTCCTTTGTTTTAAACCCATGCCAATCTAAATTGTCGACTTGCTTTCCCCTTCAGCTGAACAATTACTAATGGCCTTAGCATCTTCGCTACCTTGGTTCTCACTAGCACTGATCTAAAATTTACATTATGCTATCTTTCATGTTTATCTAGATCAATACATCAACTCCTCTGGATTTTATCGGTCTTGACCAAAATTTAGGCAACACACCCTCTTTGGTTAATAAATTTATCTCGATGCGACATGTTAACCTCTTGGATTTTCGCTGGTATGGACCTAAATTAAGAGCACTCCTTTTTTTCAACTAATGATTTCAGGCTGACATTCTAGAGACATCACCCTTATAGAGCCCTTATTTTCTACTACGATCTCTTGGATAATTTTTCACTAGAGTGAAATGACATCGTATACCATCAAACAATAAAAATTACACATATAGAGGCATAACTGCTTGTTGCACACTTGCACTGATACATTCTTGTTCAATAAATTGTTACATCACTGTTTGTTGGGCATACCCATGGTCATGCGTTGTGTAATATAGGTCAGTAGGACATATCATGGGGAACACTCACAAAATTTATCTATATTACTGCCCATTTACCTATCTAAAGTTCAGAAAATGTACATGCATGTTACATATGTTTGTGCCCTTTATCCTATATAATCCGTTCAGCTATTATTAATAAAATGTGTCAGGCTTTTGCCCTCATGTTTTTTTTTTCTTCAAAAAATCCCATTATTGTCTTTGTTAAGAATAATTTGCTCCTGACTTACATACATTAACCATTCAAGAAACCAATGAAGGATTAGACGACTTAAAAAAACTCTCAAGGAAAAGTCAATCAGCAATTCACATATACTAATGCAAGTATTCTCACCAAATTAGCGAAAAGGCAGCACTAAATACAAAGGCTAAGTTCCACTCAAATGCCCTAAAGTTTTACTAACGTTGCACGTAAGTGACCCCTAGTTTTAAACGTGTACTTAAATACCCCAAAGTATTTAAGTGTTGTAGATATATGCCCCAAATTTTCAAAATGTTGCACGTCGGTGCCCTCTTATTTACCCAATATTACATATAAGTACCCTCAGTTTGTAAATGACCTCACTTAAATACCCTAAAGTTTCACTTTAGTAACCCTTCGTTGTGTGATTTTCTTGGATATGTAGAGAAAAGTTAACGCCGCTGGGTTTTTTTTATTACGGGGTATGCATAATTGCATATGCAACACTTAAATACTTGGGGTTTTTTTTTCCCTCGGTTTTAGAATAGTGGTCACTTAAGCGCAAGGTTAGTGAAATTGTAGGGCATTTAAGTGCAATTTAGCCAAATACAAATAACCCATAATTTCTCACAGTTATTACATCTACTCCTTTATACAAATAGGAGGATCAAAGAATACCTGTTCATGCTACAGTAAATTGAACAGTAATTCTCTCTGCTCTCATTTGTATAGACATCCGATCAGATTTCAAATTTCAAAACCCCCTTCTCAGGCTTCTCACCCCGATCCAGAGACAAAAAAAAATCCCTCTATCCGTATGAGTTCCCCCCTTCTCTTCCGCATCGTCAAACGACCTCTTCCGCCGCCTCCCCTCCCACCTCACCGACGCCCTCTTCCGTCGCCGCCTTCCTCCAGACCCAATTGATCCTTATCAGTTCCCCTCCTCTCTTCGGCATCATTAACAGCCTCTTCTGCCGCCTCCCCTCCCACCTCGCCGACGCCCTCTTCCGCCGCCTCCGCCATTGCCGCCTCCTCTACCCATCCATCCTCGAGTCAGTTCAAAACCATAACCCTAACGTTTTTATTTTGGACCTTTTCTGTTGAAATTTATGAAATTTATTTTGATTCAGGTACTGTTGTGGATTCTGGAAGCAAAGCTCTGGAATTTCTTGGGTTGCAGCAAGATGAGCAAGTAAATTCATCATCTTCTGATTCTTCTTCTTCTCATCCTCAACAAAATGTGATCTTTTTACATATACTTTTTGAAAATTTTGTTTTTTATTTATTTTGGATGAATTTTGGACGATTTTTTAACTGAATTTTTGGAATTTTTTAGTTATGAAATATGATTGAGATAGTTATGTGTCTTTATTGTTTGCTATATGAAGGGAAAAAAATAAAAAAAATTCTTAAACCGGAAAGATACTAACTTTTTTTAGCTTTTATTGCATATTAACTGATTCTGGAGGTATATTTGCTTAGTATTCATTGATACGTAGACATGCAAATGCCAGTCTTTATTGTTTGATATATGAAAGAAAAAAAATTGGACACCAAAACTTTGAATCAACAATTTCTTGGTGAATTTATGGAAGAACATTTAACATATGAGAACAAATAAAAATGCTAACTTCTCATAACTTCAAATCTGATCCAAGGTATTTCTTTTTGTTTGTTTAATTATTGACAGCTAATAATAATTATGATGCCAACATCCTAATGACGTGCGTGATGGAATCGGTGATCGAGAGTATCGATCGGTTTCAGGTGATGGTTTTTACTATGATTTTTGCTTAATTTCTTGATTTTAATAAATATTATTGTTGAACATGTTTATATTCTTGATGTTCACCATGTTACCATGTATTTTAAATGAGGATCAGAAACTTTAAATTTTACTTATCTATAAAATTGTTAATGATAGTTTCCTGTTATTTATACTTTTGTAATGTTGGGTATTTCATTATATTTACTGATTTTTGAAAAGTTATATTTTCTTAAATGAAGACTCTTAATGCATTAATCTTTTAAATGTCAGTGTGTTTGTTCCTGAAGTTGAAATAAGAAGCTATTATACCCAACATGAATTTATGATGGATAGAATTTTATGGTTCCACATCAAGTGCTTATAAGATTTTTTTTAAGAGTTTCTCACGAAACTAATTATTTATTTCTATAAATGTCTACTTTTCTTCTTAGCTTGAGAATTTATCAACATAAATGATACAATTATTTTTTACATCTTTCCTTCTAGGCTTTAGATGCAAAAGTAATCTGATTCAAGTAAAATAGGCAAAAGATGTAGTTCTCTTGGAAATTAGTTTAACTTTATATATATAATAGTTGCATTTCTATTAATTAAAAAAATATGTTTTAGAGGAAATTGTTTTTCTTAGAAATTAGTCCTCTTGAATAGCATTCTCAAATTTTGGATAATAGAGTTTAATTGATAACATTTATATATACGTAGTTGAAATGTATTTTACTCTTTGTATGTATATAAAGCATAGGATTATAATTGCATATGATGCTTTTAATATGAAGGTTACAGTTCATTTATAAATCTTTATGATTTGATACGGATCCGACAAGCTTATTACGTTTACATTGCTTTTTTCCCATGTGATCAACTATTGCAGTGTCAATCTCAATCAAACTATGATTACTTTCTCCAATATCCTCGGAAGCAAGTCTTCATGTGATTAACTATTGTATTTCTTTGCTAACAGATTATTACATGCTCATTGATTTTCAGTAAAATAGTTCTTTTTATATTAATTTATATTGTTTTATGCCTATATTTTGTATGCTCCTGTACTACCTGTTATTGTTTTTCTGTTCAGATTCCTCTAAGCTCTGTCACTTCGATTATTGATGGCTTGAAGAAACTATATATTGAAAAATTAAAGTCATTGGAAGTTACCTATCAATTTAATGATTTTGCTTCTCCTTTGCTGGTGAGTTATGCAATACATATATTCCTCTTATCATGGGCAAACACCTTATAAGTTTCATTTCATTTTAAAAATTATTATTATGCATATTTGTAGGGAAGTAGTATACTTTTCATTTTGATACATGATCTATAAATTAGCACTTCTTTTGGTCAGTCATGATGATGATGACCTATTGTGGAGGCGAGATTTACTAATGGAATTATGTTAATATGCATTCATGTCAAAGCCTAGAACATTCAATGCTTCCTTTGACTTTAATGAAAGCCGATGATGTT